TTCAGCCATAGCCTCATTTCTTGTTTTGGACCTTCATTGTAGCTTAGATTTGATGTTCAAGCTTCATAGCTCTTTGCATGCACGTAAAGTTGGCAACTTTATGTGTAATGCCAACCCTAGGAGTCCAGATCTACAAGTGGGAAGCATTGGAATGGACTGTAATCGTCTGAATGAAGGTGTCACAAGTGGACTCGGCGAGTCTGTTCTCGGACTCGGCGAGTCGGGTCGCAAACCCTAACCCCTTCTGGATGCGAGTTGAACCAATGAGTTGAGTCGGTGACTCAGTGGGTTGGTCAGGACCAGGACTAGGACTCGGCGAGTCGTAGGGTGACTCGGCGAGTCGAGTCGCAGATTGTTAGGATTTCCGAGCTTATGAACTCGGCGAGTCAATAGGCTGACTCGGCGAGTAGAGCCGACCTGGAAGGTTGACTTTGACCAGGACTTTGACTTTGGCTGGAGTTGACTTAGTTTGATTTCTGGAGGTCAGTTTGGGCTAAGTGTAATATTGTTATTGGTAGCTCGGGGAGCTAGAGGAGCAGCGGTTCGGGAGTTGTTAGCAGTCAGAGGCGTGTCGGCAAGAGCTTCAGCAGGGCGAGGTGAGTTTCCCTTTGTGTGGATGGGTCTACGGCCACAATGCCGTCCCATGTAGTTATGAGTAGGAAGACCCGAGGGTTAGCCCTAGGCACAGTATGCTAGTATGACATTCGGGACTGGGCCCGTATCTCACTATCAGTAGGAGTGTGGACGGGGTTCCATGACTCATCAGTAGCAGGACAGGGGCGAGGCCCAAGATAGGCGAGGCCTTAGAACAAGATTCAGTAGTATATGTTTAGTTATGCGTTGTGATATGATTATGTGTTAGTATATGTTAGTGGGCGGGGCCTAAAAGAAACAGATTTGTACGCCGAGCGGGGCTCGAGGCCAGGCGGGGCCTGGTGACGGACAGGGTCCGATAGCGGGCGAGGCCCAAGGCAGCGGGCGGGGGCCCAGTATATGGTTATATGTTTCGGATTATGTTCGGACCAGTAGATTTGTATGGTATGTGGTAGGTTGGGGAACTCACTAAGCTTCGTGCTTACGGTTTTCAGTTTTGGTTTCAGGTACTTCCGGTAGCGGAGGGAAGAGCTCGGGGTGATCGCATGGCACACACCATTGATTAGTCAGCCTGGGATGTTTTACTCTGATAATGAAAATATGTTTTGGAATTTACACTCTGATTTATGTTATGATTTCATTTATGGTTTGACAATTATGTTTTAATTAATGTTTTAAAAGGAAATTTTCAGTGATGATTTTTGGGGCGTTACATTAGGGGTAAAGCAAAAGGATTAGGGTTATCTAGAAGGAACATGCCTCATCCTTAGCCTCCCTATCACCTATATAAACCTCCTTGGGTTATGATTTTGAAAATCACTTCATTTAAAAGAGAGAATTCGAAAGTTCCTTTCCTCATTCTCTCTTCTGAAGCCTCCAACTTGCTAGAGTTTAGGTGTGAGCCATTAGAGACACGAGACTTTTGGTGCTTGCTTTCTAAAGACCAACAACGAATGATTACTAGTTTATTTACTATAATAAACTTAGGTATGTATTTTCTAATAACCCTTTAGTATTTTCTAATGAAGGATTTCGCTTTCAGAAAAGAAGAAAATCAGTTTTGTGAATGGCAAAATCATAAAACGAATAATCAAGGATCATATCATTAAGTTATGGCAAATTGTAACAACATGGTTACTTTATGGATCCTCAATATTTTGATTAGCAACGTAACATAATCAATCCTTTATTCAACTTCGACATATGAAATCTGGAATGATATAGATGTTTTTTGGACAATCAAATGGAGCAAATGTCTATCAACTTCAGAGGGAAATATCGAATCTATCACAAGGATCGAGTGATCCTCCATCTTATTTTACTAAACTCAAGAAGAACTAGGATGAATTGAATGCTTTGTCTTTAATTCCTTTATGTACTTATGGTGTTGTGCACAAACTCAAAGATCTCGAACAAAATCAAGGGTTGATCAAATTTCTTTTAGGACTCAATAACGCTTATATAGATATTCAAGATAACATTTTGATGATGAAGCCTTTTCCGAAATTTGCTTAAGATTGATTATTTGATTCAACATGAAAAATAACATAAGGTACAATGTGCGTTGATTTTTTATGTCTAGTCCGTGTCTATGAATGTATAAGGCATGGGAAATCAATCTAGAACAACATATGAACTCAAGAAAAAATTAATTTATAATCACTACAAGAAACCTGGTTATACAGTCAACAAGTTTTATTGTGTTGTTGGATTTCCAAAAGATTTTAATTCTATGAAGCCAGATCTAAGAACTATAACAGTTAATATGAATAATTTTTAATGAATATGATTATCCTTCAAAGATACCTTCCCTGAATTGACAAGTGATCTATACCAATGACTCATTTTGTTGATCAATAATCGTTCAAATACAAACAATATGGGGACAAAATGAATTCAAACTGATGTTTTACCCCAAAACTCCAACAATAATTCAAATGTTAATTTTTTTGGTAACACTCTCTCCTTATAACTCGAGCATGAATTCACAAAAATACCATTTTGTTATCAATAGTTCGACTTCTTGGATAATATATTATGGTTGAAGTGATCATATGTGTTAAAATGAGGGATGTAAATGAATCGAACAAACACGACTAAATGTTGTTCATGTTCGTTCATTTAAGTTAGTCAAACAAACAAATAAACGAACGAGTTTTCTTGCACATGTTCGTTCGTTTATGTTCGTGAACATGTTAAACGAACATAAACGAACGGAGTTAAAAAAACATAATTGAACATATATGAACATAAACAAACATATAATATAATGATGTACTCAAACATAATTAAACATATATGAACATAATAGGTACTTAAATAAACGAATATAAACGAGCATTCAAGAACAAAACCAATGTTCATGTTCATTCATTTAACTAAACGAACACACATTTTTATTCATATTCGTTCATTTAGTAAATAAACGAGCTTCCTACCAAACGGTTCACAAAATGTTTGTTTAACGTTTGATTCGTTTACAACCCTAGTTACAATAGAACCTTATTGTTTTCAAATTCATAAACTTAAACTTCTCCATAACATCAGTCTTCTGAATGGGGAAAAAACTATGTCCTTTGAGGTTGGAAGCATTTACATCGCTAAGGGAATTGTTTTACATAATGTAATGTATGTCCCTTTCTTTCAATATAATTTGTTTTCGAGTAGGAAACTTTTCATAAACAAATCAAATAACTTGTTGTTTTCATATTCTTGTTATGGGGGCTTTCTCAGAAGATGTCTCTGTTCTTGGTAGATATCAAATCAAAAGGATGACATAGGTACTGTAATGTCTATTTTAATTAGTACCCTTTCAAACCCATTTCTTATTTTTTTGTAATGTCATGTCTAATGACACTAATATCTTTTTGTGGCATAAGAGACTTAGACATTTATCAATATACAAGTTGACCAAATTTTGATTTAGTGAATAAAAGAGATGTTGACTTTGAAGTTCCATGTGAATATTGTCCCAAAGCCATACATTGCTATTTTGGTTAAAAGTGTAATGGATTTACTAACTACATGTTTATATATGTTTATCTACCATTTTTTAGGTAGAGAAGCTGGGAAAACAAGTTCAAAACATAAAAAACCATCCACCAAACTCAACTTGATATGCAAAATAAGATGAAATGAAGACAAACTCAACTAAATTTGCAAATGCAACAAAGGCAAACTCAATGAAATATGTGTCAAACTGAAATTGAAGAAAAACCATTGGTCTTAAGAGCATCCACAATGGTGAGTTCAATGAGAGAGTTGAATGATGTGACAACTCTAGGTGTCCATCATTGGATGAAACTCTACCATTATGTGATGCCACATTGACACTCAATGGATTTGGAGTTCAATGACCATTGAAGTCTTCAATGGAAAAAAAAATGAAAGTTTTTAATTCTTAAATATATACTATAAATTATCTTTTGTAATATTCTTTTAAATTTTGTAGAGTTTAATGCATTGTAGGAAAAAATAATAGAGTTGTATGGATTGTAAAAATATGATATGACAATTCATTAAACTCTATCAAGTTTAATGCATTGTGAATGTCTTAATGATACAATTCACACTACCCGTTAATCCATCGAATAATTTTTATTTTTATGTTTTCAAATACTTAATTAAACATTTGTAATTGTATTGACATTTTTAAAGTATCAACAACTTTTATTGTAATGTTTTTTTTTGTTACCGAATTATGGGTTTTGATTAATAAAACTTAGTTAAATATAAACATTATTATAAGTTTAATGCATTGCATTTTTTTTTCTATATTTGGGCAGAAAAATTCACAGTTTTTTGGTTTATTTAAGTTTTATCGTTTTTCAAATAATAAATCATTTGTGTGACACATCTGTGACGGAAATATCCCCCAAAAACTGAAAATGTTTTGGAGATCTGTAAAATAATGTCAAATATGGTCGCTCTAGACACCGTTGGAATACCATCTAGAAAAAATCAAACTATGTCAAGTATGGTCTACCGTAATTTTATCGTAATAGCTAAGGGGAGTGGGTGACAAAATCACACGGACATTTGCTTCACATGCCATACGAACACCTCCCTTCAAAGGTGGCATGACAAAATGGCAAACTCAAATGACATGTTAGAGAGAGAGAGAGAGAGTTTATTATTATTATTATTATTATTATTTTACCAAGTTCACCCACCCTGTTGTGTGACAAAAATGACATGACAAACATTTTGTGGTTTCAAAGATGATGTGGCAGCATGACATGACATGACATATTCCACTCCTTCCGGCCTAATGATCAAAACGGGTTAAACCATGGAAGTCGAAAATACATCGAAAAAAATCGAAGATTGTCAAACTATATCTGTCAGAATGGAAATCTATCCGTAATTAATTAGGTCCACCGGAAATCCATCATAAACATTACCTATCAGCTTTTTTCTGATGTAATTAAATCCATCGGTACTGGCAGATTTCCGATGGAAAATGCCGTCGGAACCGCTGCTTTTTCTAGCAGTGATGACCATTCCAAAGAGTACTGCTTACCATCGATTAACAAACCGATCATTTTGTCTAACATAACAAATTATATATAGTATTTAATTATGGTACAAAATACATGGGATTTGGAAGTTTAAATGTTCTATTGCCAACAAATTCTCCATGAAGATCACTCCACTGGTCACCAACATTTCCCCATATCCTGTACCCTTCTTCCACCAGTTTCCTTCTTATTTCTGATTTGTAAACCACACCACTTTGCCCTTTGTATGCTTCACTCCTGAAGATATATTAGTTTCAAATTATGAAAGTGGGCACTTCTTCTTCTTCTTCTTTATTTCAAGCAAGTCGACGATATTTTTTAAAAATGATTTATTTTATAGAGATAAATGTTATAAACTTAAACAAACTATGCAACAAAATTAGATATATATTTGAAAGAATTTCGTCATGAAACTACTTCGTAAAATATCCTGTCATTGTGTTCAAAGTGGTCATGTTTTAGAAGTTAACTTAAAATGATGTTCATAATCATAAAAGTTATATAAAATATGTTAATTAAAAATCAGCACCGACGTGATTATTTCTGGATGCCATGACTAGTTAAAACGCTATTTTTTGTTTTTTTCTGAATAATCTCGATATATAGAAAGATTTATAAAGGTGCAGTGAGTTGGACTAAAAAAATATCCAAGTTCTTCACCCTTAATAGTTAATATATTACCTCAAAATGAGCCGTTGAAAGCCAAAAAATCCTTGAAGGTGCAAATTCTGAACAGTGACTAGCCCAAATGCCGTTTCATCTCTGCCGCTGATCAAGAACACCTTAAAACCACTCTCCACCAGATTCCTAAACAATCCCAGAATCGCTGGAATCCCAGGGCAGATTCCTATCAATGCCCATTCCTTGAATGCATGTGGGTCGTATGGATCCCCTCTACATCCATATAATAAAACATATCATAGCTAAAACCAATATTCATGCTTGATATATATGTTATACATACATGATGTAAGTATATGTATATATCAGAAAAGTTTGCATGAACACATAAGAACGACGTAAACTTACCCAAACCGCTTCCCTTCATAATAATAGAGATTTGAAAGACAAGTTTCATCGACATCCAAGATCCATGCATCCATTCCATCGTCAGATAAAACAAGCTGATCGATATAATTCCTTATCTCATCTACGATCAATTTCATATCAGAATCATATTGCCCACGAATCATGTATGCCTCAACATGCCGGAGACATTGAATGGGGACAGTACGCCACCCATGTAAGTTGTTTGTCTCGGTGGCCAACCTCCAACTCAAACAGTAGCTTGACGACAGCTCCACCAGCTGGCCACCACCACTGTGTCGAGACAAGTGATCATTGGATAACTTTGTGCTCAAAACCATATTTGACATCACAAATAAAAGGAAAAACATAAGCGTTTCCATCGCGTTTCCTGCACATATACATATTCAATAAAAACTGTGAATAACTAAACTTTGAAAACATGTTAATTTAAGTTATAAAATAGAGGTCGAGAGAAAGAACCTAAAGTTGAAATGATATAAGGGGGTGTTGATTTCTTTTTCACAAGTATCATATGCTTATATAGTATTCAAAAAGGGACTTATGGATGACATAAGTATTTTTCGTTAACGATCAACTAAATATTGTATACAATAATGATATTACCATTTGTAAAATTATGTATGTTTGTATAACATACGGTTTAAGAACTATATTGACTATATTATTCTTATAAAACTCCAATTAAAATCTTTTATATGAAATTCTAATAATGGTTAAAACATTTAACAAATTTACGTATGTTGCAAATAGAAAGTGCGAGAAACAACTAGAAAATGGGAAGGGAGTCAGAAGGCATTAGAAACCAAAGTGGGCATAACACAGTAGACGACACCTTGGATTTTTTTCGTCGGTAATTCAAAACGTCCGACCAAACACTAATGCATTGTTTAGAACAATGACATCAATATTTTTAAACCGAAAGAGTAGGGATTGGTTTTTATTAGGTACACTTTATAAAAGTGTCAGAGTCACATTCTTTTGGAATGAAATTTTTGTCTAAAACCGAGCTTCACGAAGTTTGATGGTTAGAACTTTGAAATGGTTGTAACCACTAACCGTAGTATAAAGTTCATAAAGAATATCAATTTTATAAATTGATTATACTTTTTAATGGATATATATTTAATTAATTTATAATAGATTTTTTAAATACTTCACTTATTTTAAAGAAAAGATAGAGGTTGACGATGACATCAGTTATTTCCTAAATAAAGCTTTATAACTTGGTCAAGCAACTTTTTTCTAACAAAAAAGATTTTTCATTAGTGTTGGGGAATTCGAATTAGGGTTCTGGGAAATCTGGATAACAAACAGGAATCGTGTAAACATTTTCCTTGTTTGATATTTCGACCCTATATGCCTTGGGTATCACGAAATCCAAACTGGGATAATTAATGATGTAACAATTCAGATTTTAGGCATAAAATCAGAATCAATTTGAAGAAGATGAAGAGAAAGCGTTCTATGTTTTCTGTGTTTCAAACAAGCGCCGTTTTCCAGTTTTATCCCACAACGGATAAATCAAAACGGTTTTCATCTTTCAAGAATGACAAACTGGGACCCCCGACTTGTCATAGTAGATTAGGGTTCAGTACTAACAATATTTAGCAAATACAAGTGTGCACTTCCGCACCTCCTAGCTTGTATTATAACTAAAACATTATTCTTGAAACATTTGTTAAGTCCATTACACTAAAATATATTTGGTGATAAAATCACCAACAATTAGTTGATACTTGATATGATACACATTCAATCACAATAAAATTGATAAAAGTATTTGATTGATGACACACCAAAAAACCAACTGTTGGCAAACTTGAATGCATATCCTACATCCAATAAGAGATTAATGCAAAGAAAACTTGAAAGCGACACTATCGAAGACTCAATTTGAATAAGCCTTCTCTACGTTCATTGATTGGTTTAAAATGAAAGATATACCACCAACAATGAAGTTGGATTATAGAGACAATCACTTGATCCTTGACGAAAGTTTACAAAGCTAAGTGGGTGTTTGGGAGTGTTTTTCAAAATAAATTATTCAAAAAGCAGTTAAAAAGGTGTTTGGAAGCTATCCTAAACACGCCCTAAATAGATAGGTTATTACATATGACCAAAATATACAAAAACCACAATTTGTTTAATTTTTAGAAAAACTATGATAGTTTTAATTAATAAATCAATCAAATTTAAGATATTTTGCAAATTAACCGCGTTGAGATCTTATTTGAGGGTTCACACCCTATTTTGCTTTTATGGACATTTTTAAGAGTGTTTCAACTCCGATTGACATGAGGTTTTTTCCAACATGTAGTTTAGAGTTTGTACATGATTTTAGACTATAAATTTGTCATTTTTAGTTTTATATTCATTGACTTATAGTCCCCTAAAGTCGAGATATCAAAGCTGGAAGTTTTTAGTTTTTAGGTTTTTTTGTATTCAATGAAAGTTTTAAAACATGCATATCTAATTCGTTTGAAGTCGGATTGACATGAGGTTTTTTCCAACTTGTAGTTTACAGTTTGTACATGAGTTTAGACTATAATTTTGTCATTTTTGATTTAATATTCAATGATTTACAGTCCCACGAAGTCGGGATATCAAAACTGAAAATTTTCAACTTTTCAGCTATTTGTTTTAGTACTTTGTATTCTGTGAAAATGTTAACACATGCATATCTCATTCGTTTAAAGTCGGATTGACATGCGGTTTTTTCCAGAGTGTAGTTTAGAGTTTGTACATGATTTTATACTATAATTTTGTTAATTTTAGTTTCATATTCAATAGTTACAGTCCCCCAAAGTCGGGATATCAATATAAAAATTTTCAAAGTTCAACCCACTAAGTAGTAATTAATTACCAAAAAATTCCGGTTTTTCCGGGTTTTACGGTTCTAAACCCACTTTATCCGGTTCCAACCTACCCACTTTGATGTTATCGGGTTTTCTGGTTCTAGACCCACTTTACCCGGTACCGAACCGGAACCGGTTCCTATATATCGGTCCGGTTTCTGGTTCTACAAAATCCCATTAACCAATTCCGGGTTTTCCGGGTCCGGGTCCATCCAGTCTGGGTTTGGACCCACTTTCATCCCTACCTGAAAGTATGCCCGAATCCCTTAAACCAAGGCTCTGATACCAACTTGTAACGTCCCAAAAATTCATAGTAAAATTTTTATTTTTAAAACAGTAAATCATACAAAAGAGTTGTTCCAAAACTGATTAAAGTGAGTATATTATTTAAATATCAGAGTAAAGATCATAATTTTCCAAAGCGGAAAACTCTAGGGGATGTTGTTGTTGGATTAGGTGTCTAAGCCCATAACTATAATTGATATGTACTTGACCCGAGAGTAGCATGGTCCATTTGGGTTGCATATCATCAGGACAATTTGTTAGGATGAACTTTTGAGAAGAGGTTATTTATGATTTATTAATATATTATAAGTTCTAATATATTAATATGAAATCATATGATTTAATTAGTATTGATCAAGAATTAGTTTGGAATTAATTTAGTGATCAAAAGAGACTACTTAAATCAATGGGGACTAATTGTGTAAATTAGTTATATTTATATGTTGGGCTTATGATCCTTGTTGGACTAAGTTTATGTATGGATACATAAAGAGTTGGGCCACATGAACCATGGATCATAAACCCATGGGTACGGATTAGGGTTAACCCATGAACCTTGGAATCCTACATATAAATATATGCTCCATAGCCTAAAAACGTCTCTAACATGTTCTTGGAGTTCATGGAGGTGTTTCAGTGCAAGAAGATTCTCTCTTAAGAGCCACCTTTGTCCTAGGTGTGTTGTGATTCCATTTGAGGCATTCATACTATTGGTTCTAAGCTCTTAAAGGTTCAAGGCTTCCAACTACACTAAAAGGTATGTCATCTAACTTGTATTTCATGTTGTTTATGCTTCATTGTATGCTAGTTGGGATGATGCTTTGGAATATTGAATGTATGCATGTATAATAGAGAAAACATAGATCCAAAGCATCTAGGGTTGCATGTATATCATAGGAGTGTTAGAATGCTCAAAACCCTTCAGTTGTGCAATCACGTCGGGCCCTTCCCTTTGGTACCGGAAGTACCTGACACCATAAACATAAAACTGTAAGCACAAAACATAGTGAGTTCCCCAAAATACTCCATATCATATATATACAATGGACCCCGCCCGTAACAATAGGCCTCGCCCACCATCAGGTCACGCCCGACATCGGGCCCTACTTGACATACATAAAAACACATATAATACATGCAAGAGTCACAAAGACAGCTAGCATACTATAACATAATCCAATGGGTCAGCATTGGTGCCTTCGACCCGTAAGTACTGTGAAAAGACTCACTTGAATCACAAAGCCGACTAACACTCAGCTCACAACCACCAACCACAACTAACTGCTCTCATGCCAAATGATGGGTGCTAAACACCTCATATCAATCCACACAAGGTAAACCCTAAGTCTACCTTCCAAAACTAGAATTTGACCAAAAGTCAACCCAAGTCAAAAGTTAACGGTTAAAGTCAAAGTCAACAGCCAAAATGTCAATTATTCAGCCTCACGTCGTGACCATCCCTTGGTCACATCGTGAGAGTTCATTCGGACCAATTCCAACTCATTTAAACTCCACTCAACAACTCAGTCTGCAGCCTTACAACGTGAACTATCCTTATGTTGAATTAGGTGTCTAAGCCCATAACTATAATTGGTATGTACTTGATCCGAGAGTAACATGGTCCATTTCGGGTTGCCTTCACCAGGACAATTTGATAGGATGGATATTTGAGAAAGAGGTTGTTTATGATTTACTAATATATTATAAGTATAATATATTAATTGAGAAATCATATTATTTAATTAGTATTGATCAAGAATTAATTTGGAATTAATTTAGTGATCAAAACAGACTAATTAAATTAATGGGGACTAATTATGTAAATTAGTGATACATATGGTTTGGGCTATTGACCTATGATGGGCTAAGTTTATGTAAGAATCCATAAAGAGTTAGTCCACATGAATTATGGATCATAAGCCTAAGTGTAAGAATTAGGGTTAGATGTGACTCTTGGATTCTACACTATATATGTAACCCCTTTATGCACAAAATGGATACACAAGTGATCTTGGAGATGCTATAGTCGAATTTTGGTGCCTAAAAACTCTCTCTCAAAGTCCTCATTTGTTCATGGTGTTTGTGACTTGTTTGAGGCATCACATTTGGGGTGCTAAGCTCTTAAAGGCCAAATACATCAAGCTACAACAAAGAGGTAATCATCTAATCTATTTTATGATTCAAGTATCAAATTGTATGCTAGTTGTAGGCTTCATGCTTTGGATATTTTGTTGCATGTATAACTAGAAAAAACTTAGATCCAAAGCTATTAGAGTTGTATGTGCACCATAGGAATGTTATAGTACATAAAACCCAACAGTGGTATCAGAGGCATGGGTGTTTTCTGTTATATTGATGCATTGGTAATTGT